ATCACCATCTAAGAGATTCTTATGATTGACTATTTTATCAAGTCAACTACAAAAACAGGATTCAAATTGTACCCTTATTATCAGATGTGTTGGCTTAGATTCTTAGCACTAACCAGAAATTATCTATCTCAATCACCTGCAATAGCAATAATAAATTGGCATTTTCAAGAAATTATGAAATCTTAACAGCATGCCCTTAGCACTTTAACAGAGTTGAAACAGTAACTGGGCATTTGGTCTAGTGGTATGATTCTCGCTTAGGGTGCGAGAGGTCCCGAGTTCAATTCTCGGAATGCCCCATTGACTTTTTTAAAGAAGGTGCTATATTATACATGCTGATAACTAAAGTAAGAATTATGTCTTTTGACCAAGAATTGGTCTAGTGGTATGATATCTAACAGATCATAATCAGGAATTGATTAGCATGCATTTCATATAAAATTCAACAAGAACAGAAAAGAAACATTGCCATATAGATAGATTTTAAACAAATGTCATGCTTGAAAGTAAATACTTACACCAATAGCGTATTGCCAGATTCATCAACAATGGTAATCACACATTGCCAAGTTCACCAAGAGCGAGAAACTCCAGCAGGGACAATCTTGCAAGAAAAAAAACTCACCAGAAACCAAAGGTGCTCACATATATGTTTGAATCGAGTTCATCAACAGCAGGGCATTTGGTCTAGTGGTATGATTCTCGCTTTGGGTGCGAGAGGTCCCGAGTTCGATTCTCGGAATGCCCCTTTGACCTTTTTGAACAGAATATTCTGAGTGCCAAATGGTTTTTATTCGAGGCTTTCCTGTCTTTTATTGCCAGATTTTCAACCATCACGTTGTAGACAACAATTGGTAAACAAACTCCCTAAATTTTCTCCAGCTGTAGAATATAAACGCACTAAAACATACCTCTGCTTTCAGGTCAGATAATTCAGATTTGCATAAAACCGCTCATCTTGATTATATTCCAACCAGATAACACAAGCAGTATGCTGCAGGAAATGAAAACAAGTGAACACCTAATTAATGAAATTTCAGCAAAACACACAAAACAAAAGATGAAACTGAATTTCCTGAACAGTTGATTTGCTTGAGTCATATAAACAGCAGAGCAATTGGTTCAGTGGTAGGGGTGCAAGAACAAAAAGATACTTGCAAACAAAACATACAAGTTTCTTGCTCAAGTGGATCATATGAATACGAGCGATGACAATTCAACAAACACATATTGACTTCTTGAAGAAGCAAAAACTCTTGACCAGAATGCTTATTGCTCCACACATCAAAATGCTATAACCTTCATAGTTTACATATATTGTTAGACATAAGATCAAAGTCAACCAGGAAACAAGATCCAAAAGGTATCCTTATTTTCAGATCCATTGACAAGTAAATCAACCAGAAATTACTTTGGTGCAATTCTTTGACTATTTTTTGACTATTTTTTTTTTTAAGTTACATGGGTATTTCCATGTATCAGAAAGTCTAGTAAATGTATGGCACGCATATCATGGGCAAATGTTCATAGAAACTAGATCAAAATGAATTGAACTAATGGAATGGTTACACATGATCAGTGCAAATGGCCAACTGAAAACAAAAGGACATAAGAGCTTCCACAAGTTGACCAAATATATTTCTGGCAACAAAAAATTGCACACTCTATAATGAAAATATAAATAGTCATTTGCTTAGACTCTCAGTTGTGAAACAGATCCCTGCAGATCAGATCTAAGATAATCGTGTTACAAGTAAAATAATCCATCACTAAAGGAACCAAATCCAAATTGACTTAATATGATTTCCTCACCGTTTTTAATTAAATTGTTCAGCAGCACGATACTTGGTCCAGAAGTAGGATTCTAGCTAAAGAATGCTCCCGGGTTCGATTCTCAGAATACCTCAGCGACACCATTCAAAAGTATATGCTCTAAAAGGGCAGTGAAAAAATTGATTCTCTATTTGTTAATTTCTGCTTGATTTAGACTCCTATCCAATAATAGCAAACCAGGAACATTTGGACCTAATTGCAATTATCAGACTGACCTGGGCCACGACCAAATGGAGACACCTCCAGGGATCTTCCGTTACAAGGAAAAAAGTGACAAGATGTCTCGGCAGCAATAACTCAACACCTTCAGCAGCTATCCATGTAAATTAGTAGGCAGTGAACATAGAGACCAGCAAAATAACCCTTGCTTACTTCAACTACCAAGGACGCTGATTGCTTCAGTAAGTTGACATACTGTATTATGTAGGATAACACAATTTTAGCAAAATCCCAATCAAGATATCTGAAATTACTGTGGTGGAAGATCAATTCCGCCTCGTCGATTGGTGAAGAAAGCGGCGGCTTGTATACACGCAACTGCTGCGACGCCTGAGTCCATCAAATCGCAGAGAATTGTCCCGGAAACCTATTAAAATTATTTGGCTCCAACC